CTTCGCGGAATTTAATTTATCACGGTAGGGTCTAGAACCGATTAACCGCGATAAATGAAGGTTCACTGTATGTCCAAAATATGTAAGACAAAGTCTTGCCATCCTTGCCTCTAAGCAGCCCTCTGACCTTACTTCTCCCAACACAGATTGGATGCTGCATGGCTTGAAATCAGAAGAGATGTGCTTCCGGGCACCATTTCACCATTCTTATTCCATCTGTATGCTGAGCACATAATCCAAGAAGCTGAACTATCTGAAGAAGAGCAAGGTATCAGGAGTAGAGGAAGACTCATTAGCAATCTTCCATATAAAGATGAAGCAACCTTGCTCACTGAAAATAGAGAACTTAAAGCACTTACTGATGAAGATCAAAGATTGCAACTTTCAGTATGGATTTTACTTCAGCATAAAGAAAACAAAAAGAATAGAAACTGGATTAATAAGCAATATCCTGATAAACAAGGAAGAGATTGAAGTGGTCAGCAATTTCATTTCACTTGCAACCACAATCATCATCCACAGATGCACAGTCAAATCTACAGATGCACTGAGCAAATCTACTGCCCAAGACCTGTCTCTCTACAGTGCTCAAAAAAGCAAGGAGGTCACTTTGAAGACTGAGGTGCTCTTGACCGAAGCCATGGTATTCTCAATCCCCACATACATACAAAAATGGAACAATGAATAAGGAGGCTCAAAGGAGAATTTGAAATATGTTGATGCAGAATATTGACTGTAACATGAACAAATGAAGAATGAACAAATCTATCTTGGAGCAAGTACAGCCAGAATGCTCCTTAGAAGTAAGGCTGGAGAGACTTCATCTCACATACATTGGGTGTGTATGTGTGCATGTTTTTAAGAGGGGGCTTCAAAACTTTATGGAAACGTAGAATCAAAATATAATGAAATTATGCCATGAACATTTTGAAGTCTATATACATATATATATATATATTCAAGCCTATGCATAGCCAAAGACCCTCCTTATCAACCTTCTTTTGAAAGCATGACTGCTGATAGGTAAGGAAAGTCTTTGAAAATGAATGTATCTCTGACAATGTCCATTATATGCTAAAGGTAAAATAAATAACATGGAACATAATAGTCATTAGGAAAACACAAAGCTCACTCATTCTCTCTCTTTCTCTCCACCCACCATCTATCTATCTATCTCTCTATCTGTCTGTCTATCTATCTATCATCTATCTATCTATCATAGTCCAGGTTGACTACAGAAACAAATTCATAGACAGTCATATATATATAAGAAAGAGCTTTATATAAAAGAGCAATTGTATATAGAGAAAACATCCCAGCCCAGTCCAGATCAAGTCCACAAGTCCAATATTAGCCCATATGTTGGCTACTAGTCCATACATTCCTCTTTAGACTCATGCAGCACATGCAATGATGCGGAACACAGGAAGAGCCCAGGCCAGTGGGTAGAAGGTCTTGTGGATCCAGTTGCAGTGTAAGCATCTCAGTGCTGACAGCTCTCCACATGTCTCCTCCAGCTCTCTGAGTGTCTGAACAGCAGGAAATGGAAGGCAGAGAGACTGGGTCTGGCCTCCAGTGAGCTATGTATCTCTTTCGCACCTCCAAATGAGGTCATCAAGCTCTGACCTGATTGACAGGTGTGTTAGTCTCGGTTGACTAGCGAAACAAATCCAGACACATTCATATGTGTCT